GTTCCGGCTGGCTCCTGAGTTGGCCACGCCCAGCAGGAACTCATTAGCATAATAGGCCACACCCAACAGCAGAAACTCACTAGGATTGGCTACATTAGGGGTGTGTGGCCTAACATGAAAAGAAATTCCTGCCCCAAAAAAGCCCTGGGATTTGACAACAAAGCAAACAGAATCTTGCTTGAGGGGCTTGAAAAGAGGAAGAAATGAGTCTTTACAAGCAGAAGAAAGAACTCTGGCAGCACCCCCCCCCCTGCTTTATATCAAGGACCCAAACATTCTGACTACAGAGGCTTTGCTGCTGCTTAAAAGACCTTAAAGCCATTAGAAAACTAGTATCAGAACCAGTCCTGGAGCTCTAAAGGCAGGACTATTTGGGGGCAGGAATGTACAGGAATGGAGTTCCGGCTGGCTTCAGAGTTGGCCATGCCCACTACAGCCAAAACCTCTGCGTGCGTGGCTACAGAGGGAAGGCCTGGTGAGCGATCCCCCCCCAAGCGACTCTGAGGCAGGTGGGCGGGGGGGGGGTCCCTGGAAGGATCAGAGAGGCATTTAAATACCTCCCCGAGGCTTCCCCGGCCTGTTCAAGGGCCAGCTTTGCCCTTTTCTCTTTTCTGCATGTGTTTTGCTCCCTCTAGTGGTCATTTCAATATTTCATCGCCGTATCACCTGTTTATTCATGAGCACTTTAAAACCCGAGGCAGTACGGGTGCACAAGTGACAATAATGACATGTGGAAAAAACTCTGAGAGGGAAGGCAACAGCTAGGTGGATGGTTTGGTCTGTTATTCTGCAGTGGAACAAGAGGGAAAAGCCAGCTGCCCTGCCGAGACCCGCCCAAGAAACCCATTCTGTATGTGGACTAAAGCTAATTTGGAACATCAAACTGACATTTGGAAAAAGGTTCCCAAACCAAATCTTCCTGTCTGTAGCTTGCTTATGAAAGTGATTTTTTTTTAACAGTTGAGGATGATGCTGAATTGGTGGGCTTTCAAAGACACTCCATAAAGTTTCTGAATGTGTGACATTATTAGCATCCTTGCCTTTTATCACCAAAAGCTGGGATGTGCTTGGCACCCTTTGAACGCGAACTTTCACTATTGTGTCCAAGATGAACTTCCATGTTCAAAGGCAGTATATACCTGTTGTCCATGTGCTAGGAGCAAACAACAGAAAGGGGCTGTTACCTTCATGCCCTGCTTTTGGGCTTCTGGAACCATCTGACTGGCCATGTTGGAAACCACGTGCTAGGTTAGATGGATCTTTGGCATTTTGCAGCATGACTGTTTTTGACATCAACTTTAGCAACCACATTTTGTTTTTTTAAAAGGTGGTTGAAAACGTGCAAAAATTTATGTCAGCTCGGGACTAATGTGGATGTTGCATTGTTCATGTTCAACCTGCAGAGGGCAGTGTAGGTCAACAACACCATCCCATTGCAGTTGCGCAGTCTGTGCCTCTGTGTGCGCGCGTGTCTCCCTGGAGGTTTAACATTTGTTCTTGGAAGTATGGTGTGTAAAGCATGGTGTGCAAAGCTTCGGACCACACACCAACCAAAAGCATCCGGTGTGCATGTGTATGTCTCCTCTGTCTGGGCCATGATACAGGACTCCTGTTCTGCATTTTGTGTGACATCGTGCCTGCAGTATCTCTGAATGAGATGTCTACCTGTCCCCTTACATGTAGAGCTCTGGCAAACTGGGCTTGCCATGGAGTGAGGAGAAGGGGAGTTCTGGACACTGATAAGGGCAGCAAAATGAGGGGAGATGGACCTGTCCCTGGTTGAGTCATGCATTGCTGGTAGGTTCTGCACGTAACCCCATTGAAATGAATAGGAGATGCATATTTTCCATTAATTCCAATGAAGCTGGGTTGGAACCAAACTAAATTTTCACTAATAGAAGGGGAAGTGAAAGTTCCTCCCATTCCCCCTTCCTGCAGCAGACCTCCGCTTTACCCCTTTTCCCATTCCTGAAGGTCTCCTGTCCCCCTGGAATCGCATTTGGGGGGTGGGATGAGCAGGGGTTCAGGAGCTCATTAGCATAACTCATTAGTGTAACTTATTTGCATATGCCACACCCCCTGACATCACCGAAAGTGTGTCAGAAGGCAACACCCACCGCTCAGGCTCCACTGGACTGTTTTGGATTGCTAGCTATTGGGGGGGGGGGACGTGCAGATCTGTCCTCGCAGAGGAGGGAGAGCTTGTACCTGAATAAAACTTGGTCTTAATGGTACCACTGGACTGTTTTGGGCCGGAGGGCCAGGGGGGGCCTCTGCAACTTACCTGGCTGCTTCTTGCTCTGAGGGCTGCTGGGAGCAGGGGGTGGGGCTTGTTGCATGTGCCCGCCCCCTGGGCTATTTACTGCCAGAGCTCCGCTCCTGTGCGCTCCTGCAGGAAATGACCCCTGCGGGTGAGGATCAGTAGGCTGCAGCAGAACAGAGAGAGGCAGATACAAGCTTTTAATGGTTGATGAACGAGCCCTCCGCTA